CTTGTTTCTCCTTATGGAAGTGCAAAGTAATCAGCTACATCCAAATGTATGAAGTCAACATTGTCTTCAGAAATAAAATTTGCTTCAGCATATTCTCTATCTTATTTAGGGAGGCTTGATAAAGCTCAACCAGGTGCTTTGGCGTACGACAGGTTTGTGACCAGAGTCCTTTTCATCTATATCTATAGCATGCATTTTCTGCATTTGTTGCTTGCGCCGGTTCATGATTTTGTTCCTTCCTTTTCCACCGTTGTAAGAGGGTTCTTTGGTGCATTATAATTACCATGATTAGAGTTTTTTCCCTGACCACGGTTGGGGCCACGACCTCTTCCACGAAAGTTCATCTTATTCACTTCAGGGAATAGATAAGAACCAGTAGGTCGCCTTTTATGATTGTTCATTTATAACCCATTATGTTGCTTGGCCATAAGAAGATGTGAAATAAGTTCAGAATACTTTTTGAATCCCAACTCTCGATATTGTTATTTTAGGAGTATACTTGTGACGACCCGGCCTGTCGTCTCATGTATTACAGCCCCGTCTTCCCCATTTATTGCTTCTTCATGTTTCATTATTGACATCGGGTGAGTTAGAGTTGAATTGGATTGGTTTGGATAGGAAATGAGACATTTAGTCTCTTTAAGGAAGGCTTATATTGGAAAAGTCAACCGGATGTTGACTATTGAGTTAGAGGGCTCGGATATGAATTTCAGTGATTCGGTTAGCTTCGGTGGATGACTTGTGACTTAGGAGTGCAATCGGAATTGATTTTGGAGGTCCGGTGTAGAATTAGGCTTGAATTGGCGAAGTTAGTATTTTGGCGAATTCCGGTTGGTAGGTGAGAATTTGATCCGGGGTCGGAATGGAATTCTGAGAGTTGCAGTAGCTCCGTTAGGTGATTTTGGATATGTGTGCAAAATTTCAGGTGATTCGGAGTTGATTTGGTTGGGTTTTGATCGAATGTGAGTTTCGGAAGAATTTGAAGAACTTAGGCTTGAAACTAATGAAAAATGAAGATTTTTGTGTTGTTGGATGTGTTGTTAAGATTGGAACAAGTTTGAATAGGGTATTGGATCATGCCTGTGCTTTTGGTTGAGGTCCCGAGGGCCTCGGGGTGAGTTCGGGTGGTTAAACGGAAGGTTTTTGGAGTTTAATTGCAGTTCAAGTTGCTGGTATCTGTTGGTTTCGCACCTGCGGTTGTGGGGCCGCAGGTGCGGTCTCGCCGAAGCGGAAAGCTTGGCCCTTGCCAGGTTCCGCAGAGGCGGGATTAGGATCGCTTAAGCGGTCCCGCAGATGCGATTGGGGACCGCAGAAGTGGAAAGTGGCCTTAAGTGAAAAGTCTGCAAAAGCGGACGTTGACCGCATAAGCGGAAGTCACAAAAGCGGTATTTGGTCCGCAGAAGCGAAAATAACTGGCAGTTAAGTGAGATTTATCTTCTTCGCGAATTTTTTTGAAAGGGTAACATTTTGGACTCCGAACCTTGAGAACTTTGAGGCAATTTTGAAGAAGGTTTCGAGGGCTTTAATCAGGCATGGATTCTTGGACTTAGAGTTTGATTTTATGGTGTATAAATATGGATTTAGACTGAATAATCAAGGAATCAAAGGTCAAAAATGGTGGTTTAGGGCTTGAACTTTAGAGAGTCTAAAATGGAGATTTGAGGGGTCAAATGGACTCCGATTTTTATAAATTTGATATGCATGGACTCGTGGCGAGACGAGGAATCCGGTGATGTGAATTTTGTAATTATTCGAGAAGTGGGCCCGGGGCTCAGGTTTTGCCAACTTCGTGATTTTTGGTATTTTTCGAGTCCTTTCGATTGGGTTATGTTTCTTTGGCCTATAGTAATGTATTCCTTGTGGTTTTGACCAGATTCGCCACGCGAGGAGGTTGATTCGAGAGGAAAAGGCATAGCGAGCTAGACTTGTGGCCGGCTTGAGGTGAGTAATAGATGTAGATGATGACCTGAGGGTTTGAAACCCCGGTATATCGCATTGTGACGCTATATAGAGGCGAGACACGTACTCTATGATGAGTGCGGGGTCGTTTGTGATTGGGGACTGTGGCTTAGTCCGTCCCGAGTGATGTTCATACTGTGTTCTTGACTAGAGATGGATTGGTAATCATCCTACTTGGATTTTATGGATATATTTGGGCTTTGTGCCGATTATTTGAATCTTTCAGGGATTATTATCACTGTTTCCATAATACTTAGCATGTTAAATGATATCAGTCCTAAGTTAAATATTGTTTTGAAATGTTCAGTCATATTTCTAAGATTTAAAAACTTAAACTACATTTTTCTGACGTTTGAAGCTGAGAGCTATTACTTAATATTGCCCGAGTGGCTTACTTGCATATTCTGGACTGAGCATGGATCAGGCTGCACGCCGCAGCGATGTTATGTCGATATTGCGCTTGGGCTGTAGGAGTCCCTCCGGCGTCTGAACCCCCACAGTGAGCGCGGGTACCCAAATGGATCGGGTTGCTCGCCACAGCGGTCATATGCATTACATTACATTCATGCATTGGTATTTATTTGCCTTACCTGTCATTTGATTTGCTGTTATCTCACCGTTAAATGTGCTAGCTTGCCAATTATAGCTTTACATTGTAATATTTCGTGATTTCTTATCTTCAGCCATTATCTATGCTTATTACTCACTGAGTTGGAGTACTCACTTTACTCCCTGCACCATGTGTGCAGATACAGGTGTTCCGTAGGCTTAGTAGAGTTGTTGCTGCTCTCCAGATTATCACAGGAGTTGTCGAGGAAGCTGCCTGGCGTTCGCAGGACCCGACTTCTCCCCTTATCTCTTTGCTTTCCCGCATCCTAGACTTTCATATGTTTAGATTTTGCTACTCAGTTGTATTTAGAGGCTCTAGACTCGTGACCCCAGATCTGTTGGGAGTTGTATTGGCATTTGTTATGGTTTTTCCGCACTATTTCTTTCTATCACTACGGGTTGGAATTATGTTATCTGATAATTAACTCTATTAATTGGTAATGGGTTGCGTATTTGGATTTGGGAATGTTTAAATGGTCGGGGTTGCCTAGCATTGTGTTGGGCGCCATCACGACCGGGATTGGGGTCGTGACAATATTCGAGGCATGAAAAGTGGTGAAAGTTTTCTCCAGCATATGATGATCAGTAATATTATCGTCACATAATTTCAATTGGGAAATAATTCTGAAAATAGTAGAATTAAACTCATTGATAGATTTAAAATCTTGTAGATTTAAATGAACGCAGTCATAATGTGCCCGCGGAAGAACGACCATGTTCGGGTTGTCATATACAAAAACAACAACATACCCAGTAATATCACACACTGTGGGGTCTCGGGAGGGTCGTGTGTACGCAGACCTTACCCCTACCTTGTGAGGATAGAGAGGTTGTTTCCAATAGACCCTCGGCTCAGGAAAGCATAAGCACCATATTAATGACTGGATCTTTAACAGTGAGATATTCCATTTTCAAGCCTTCATCAAGGTGATGGCGTAGGAATATAATATCATTGCTTTGGCACGATCTTAGTTTGATGCCTGATTTTTATCCTTAATGGTGCTCGCCAAATCTATTGCATCAAGATGAATTTCACCATCAAGCACCCAAGATATGTAGTTTTTTTTCGATATATCCAGGGCAACAAATTCAAGTTTAGAAAAATTTGACATTATTTAGAAAAAGAAAGTTCGTACCTTTGATACTCTCAAAGTATTTGCTTGTGATGGCAAAGTCTCGTGCTGATAACGTGTTATAGAATACTGATTATAAAGTAAATTAACCAAAGACAAGTATAGAGAGAGACTAATATATTATTCAACTTCAAACTGACGTACGCAATGAACTGAAATCTCCTCTATTTATAGAAGAAAGAAAGCAGCTGTGAGGCTTTTCAGGAAGTAGCTACAAGGCTTTTCAGGAAGCAGTTGTGAGGCTTTTCATGAACTGCTTGTAAACTGTCTGCATAAGTTGCTCACAACCTGTCCGTTTAATAAGAAGCTGCTGCAAGTTATTTTATTAAGTTGTTTGCAACCTGTCTGCATCAGTTGTTTGTAGATAAAATTTATTAGGGTACTAAATGGATAATTTTTTTCAGAAAAATTATCTAAAATGGTGTAATAAATAGAGAAATTTTATTTTGTGTCTAACATGCCACGACATTGTTGTATGAGGCCTCTCAACGTATGACATTTGGACTAGTGGGGCCCACTCGTCACCACCATTTTGAAACACTCTCTCCTCTCTCAATCTCTCTTACCCGTGTTAAAATTATAATAAACTTGTTTCCATTAGTTCACATTTATATTAAATATGTTTAGATTAGTTCATATTAGTATGAGATATATGAACAAGTGTAGACTAATGTGAACTTCATTATGAGATGTATGAACTAGTGTAGACTAATGTGAATTTAGTTAGTGTGTTTACATGAAGTTTAGGCTAGATACATGTAGGAGTTCTACTATAAATACCCATGTATGCTAGCCATTTGGAACAAGTCAAGTTGAATGAAAAATATCATTTCTTCTCCATTCTTAAAGTGAGTTGTGAGTGTTTGAGTGTTTTGTTGTCTTGCTCTCCCAAATTATTTTTTTTCCAACATTTGGTATCAGAGCCGGTGTGGTTGAAGACAACAAACTTGGAGAAAAGATGACGAATTCTAACGGAACACCATTCCAAGTTCCTATGCTTACAAAAGAGAACTATGGAAATTGGTGTATTCGAATGAAGGCCTTGCTTGGTGCCTATGATGTTTGGGAACCAGTAGAGTCCGGTGTTGATGAAGCAGAAGATGTCGTTGCCTCAAGAAGAAGGATCAAAAGGCACTCACTCTCATCCATCAAGGTTTGGATGACAAGATGTTCGAGAAGGTTGCAAATGCAACAACCTCCAAGGAAGCATGGGATATTCTTCAAACTTCTTTTAAAGGTTTGGACAAAGTGAAAAAAGTTCGCCTCCAAACCTTAAGAGGAGAGTTTGAATCATTGCATATGAAGGAAAATGAATATGTTGTGGATTATATTTCGAGAGTTTTGGCTATTGTCAATCAAATGAAAAGATATGGTGAAGAGTTGAAAGACGATAGGGTCGTGGCAAAAATACTACGATCCTTAATTTCAAATTTTGATTTTATTGTTGTTGCCATTGGAGAGTCCAAAGACTTGGACACCATGACCATAGACGAGCTTTCGAGTTCCTTGCAAGCACATGAAGAGAAGTTGAAGAAACCGAAAGAAGAATCGGTTGAACAAGCGTTGCAAGCAAAATTTTCTTTCAAAGAGAAAGATGAAAGGCGTGGCTCGCAACAAAGAGGCCGTGGAAATGGAAGAGGTCGTGGTAGAGGCGGAAGAGGAGGTAGTCAACCACCTTCAAGTAGAGAAAATAAAGGCCAAGACTTTAATTCAAGAAGAGGTCGTGGAAGAGGGAAAGGATGGAGGCAAAATCAAGGAAGGTATGACAAATCAAATATTGAATGTTATACTTGTCATAAATTTGGTCATTTTTCTTGGGAATGTAAAGATAACTTTGAAGAGAAAAATAATTTCGTGGAGAGCAAAAATGAAGATGAAGATGCCACCTTGCTTCTTGCATGCAAAGGAGAAGAAAGTGCCGAGAAGCACCGATGGTACCTTGATTCCGGTGCAAGTAGCCATATTTGTGGAAAGAAGGATTTATTTGTGGAACTTGAAGAGTTGAATCGTGGCACAATCACTTTTGGAGATTCTTCACGTGTTAAAATCAAAGGAAAAGGTACGATTTTAATTCGCTTGAAGGATGGAAGTCATCAATTAATTTCTAATGTTTTATATGTGCCGGAGATGAAAAGTAACATTTTGAGTTTGGGACAACTTTTGGAGGAAAATTATGACATTCATTTGAAAGATAAAAAGTTGTTTGAGAGATGAAAAAGGGAGATTATTAGCTAAAGTTCCTATGGCTAATAATAAAATGTTCATTTTAAATCTTCAAAATGATGCTCCAAGATGCTTACTTTTATGTGCCAAAGACTCCTCTTGGCTTTGGCATATGAGATTTGGTCACTTGAATTTTGATAGCTTAAGGTTGATGGATAAAGAAAACATGGTGAATGGATTGCCAAGTATTAATCATCCCAACCAATTTTGCGAAGGATGTATCTTTGGAAAGCAAGCTAGAAAAAGCTTTCCTAAAGAGTCTTTGACAAGAGCAAGATGCCCTTTGGAGTTAATTCACATGGATATTTGCGGACCTATCAAGCCATTTTCACTTGGTAAAAGTAATTATTTTTTACTTTTCGTTGATGATTATTCTACAAAAACTTGGGTTTATTTTTTAAAGGCAAAATCAGAGGTGTTTGAAACCTTTAAAAAATTCAAGAGGATGGTGGAGAAACAAAGTGGCTATCAAATTAAGTCACTTCGGTCGGACAATCGTGGAGAATTCACTTCAAATGAATTCAAAGTTTTTTGTGAGAAAAATGGAGTTCGCCATTTTTTAACCGTGCCAAGATCACCACAACAAAATGGCGTTGTGGAAAGAAAGAACCGGACCATTCTTAACATGGTGAGGAGTATGTTGAAGAGCAAAAATATGCCAAAGGAATTTTGGGCTGAAGCTGTTGCTTGTGCGGTATACTTACTAAATCGTTGCCACACAAAACGTGTTCATGGAAAAACACCTCAAGAGGCATGGAGTGGTTTCAAGCCAAAAGTTTCTCACTTGCGAGTTTTCGGAAGCATTGCATATGCACATATACATGATGAAAAGAGGACCAAGCTCGATGACAAAAGTGAGAGGTATGTTTTTATTGGTTATGATCAAAAATTCTAAAAGGTTATAAAATTGTATAATCCCAAAAAATGGCAAAGGTCATATGAGTAG